TTAGATAGATAGATAGATAGATAGATAGATATAAACAGGCATTTTTAGATAGAGAGATAGATAGATAGATAAATATAAACAGGCATATTTAGATAGATATAAACAGGCATATTTAGATAGATAGATAGATAGAAAGATAGATAGATATAAACAGGCATTTTTAGATAGATAGATAGATAGATAGATAGACAGATATAAACAGGCATAGATAGATATTATTCCTCTTTTAATTTTAAATTAATATTTTATTCTTCATGTAACCGCAAATTAATGTCATAAGGTTAATATTTGGGTTTAATTTTGTAAAACTTCTTTAAGACAAATACCTTCCACTCTCCCCTGACCCCCTCCTCGTGCCTTTTGTCTGAATGAAACATTGAAATCGATAAATTCTGGATTAGTTTTTCAATCTGTTAATTTTTTTTTTTTGTATCTTGCACAATTAAATTTCTATTTCTGACATGAACTCAGTCAACATCGGGGTTGATGAGACGGCAAGACAATAGATATCTTCATCTGCCGAAACACCTTATTCACCATAGTGATTTTCCAAGCGCAGCTTAGATGTGGCACAAGGCCGAAAGTTGGGGGCAACCAGTGAGGGTCGAACTCACTACTCAGTCGTAGTTGTTTTAGCGAGACAAGCTTGTTAACCATTACACCGCCTCGAGGTGCCCCGATTGATTTTCTAAGCGCGGTTTAGATGTGGCATAAGGCCGAAAGTATGGGGCACCCAATGATGATCGAACTTACTAATCATTCGTAATTGATCTAGGCTATTCTCCATATGAAGTGATTTTGGATTTTTTATTGTTTATATATATATATATATATATATATATATATATATATATATATATATATATATATTGACAACACAAATATAATAGCATCATCTAGATGCAAAACAAAAGGCTAAAAATAATGGATGTCTTATTAACAAAAACAAAAAACCAACACTTAGTAATATTAATTTTGAACATGGACACAACATCTTGACCGTGTTTTGAAAAAATGAAAATATTTTATAAAACATACATACAACAAACTATTTCTCATTTAACGGTTAAAATAATTAATCTTTGAAAATGGCTAAATGTATAGCCGAAAGCGCTCGGATAAAAAAAAAAAAAACATTTGGACAGTTTTTATATAATTTATCATCAGAAAAAAAAATCATTAGATCGCGTGAGAAATTGTATAAAAAAACAAATAAAAGCACCTTGTCGTCGTATTCAATAAAATGTGTGCATATATATATATATATATGTGTGTGTGTGTGTGTGTGTGTGTGTGTGTGTACTTCCAAACATTCGTTAAAAAAATAGCCATACATGATGAAAAAATACCGCCAAAATTTTTGTTATTATAAGAGGAAAGACCGAAGGATTTCTTGATTATGAAATTTTTGTTCCTTTTTAGAACTTTCGAAATTTTGGTTAAATTTTTTTCTTGCATCAACAGGTGATCATAAACTGTTATGCAAAACATTGATTTGGAAATTCTTGCAAGAATCAGCTAATTGTAGGATATATGTGTGTATATGAGTGGACTCAATTAGTCTGTATGAATAAATCAATCGAAGTTAGCCGAGGACATGAAGGAGTTAAATAGGCAAAATGAAGACCCACTTTCGGATTCTTAAATGTTTATTTTTTTTAGAAATATTTAAAAAATATTTTCTTTTACATCCGTTACCCCTCAGTTATTTAATTTTAGAAATTTTGCGAATTTTTTTTAATAGAGCTTAATGTTTATATTAACTATAAGGAGAAGTCCTTGGAGAATTTGAATCATTAATTTTTTTCGTCAAACTGGACACCCAGGTAGAGAAAATTTACTCTGAATTGTAAGAAAAAATGCCACAAATCAAAGACATTATTTAATTAAAAAAGCTTTAAATTTTTTATGTATAAATTGTATTATGGAGTAATTAACATGAAAATATTTGCAGAAAAGACAGAGGGAAGCCATATGACGTCGGTGAGAAAGTGAATGAAGTCAAGATGCCAAGCTTACATTGGAGATGCTTCTTTGGATTTTGTCAAGAACTTTGAGATGAATAGCAGGAGCACCAGACCAAATATGGCGACAGTATTCAATGCACGGAGGACGAGTGGTAGATTTTTAAATGTTCAAAATGGATTCTATCGGGAAAAGTTTTCTGGCACGGCACAGTGATCCAACTTTCCTTGCAATAGATGCAGTTATTTATTCGATGTAGCCTCTTTACTCTAAGTCAGTGGAAAAATGCGAGACCAAGAAAGCGCTGTATATTGCTCCCCTGGAGTCTAGCGTGAGCCATGCTGATCGCAGACAAAAAAAATTCTCTATGGTAGTTTAATTGAAAGCAATTTTGTTCGATTAGCTTGAAATTAAAATTAAAGAAAAAGCTTGTAGAAGGATTTTGAATTTTTAAAAATGCATTTTCAATCTTAGGTATCTCTTTTCTTTAGAGGTACCTATATATATATATATATATATATATATATATATATATATATATATATATATATATATATATTGTGTATATTTAGGCAGCAATTTTTTATTGATGCATGTTTCATTAAATAATATAGACGAGTTTTGTCTATTTATTTTAAGTAAGTTCCTAAGTAGATAGATAGATATGAATAGACTGAGATAGGTAGATATGAATAGACTGAGATAGATAGATAGATAGATAGATAGATAGATAGATAGATAGATATGAATAGACTGAGATAGGTAGATATGCATAGACTGATAGATAGATAGATAGATAGATAGATAGATAGATAGATAGATAGATATGAATAGTTAGACCAGGATATGATGAGACTGCGTAGCTAAATAGGTATATATGTATACCGAATAAAAGATTCCTGGACGTCTTGGTAAAATTTTTACCCGCAGATCGTAATTAAGTCCCTTGATAACTTGTTGTAATGGGGAGGTGCTGCTTTCAGAAAATAACGCCCTTTCACCAGACTACATTTATTTCCGCTTGCTTTGAGAAGTGACGAAAGGCACATATGCAAGAAGAAAAAAAGTTTATTTATGATTGGCTCTTAGAATGGCTGGGAGGGCGAAGCCAAAGTAAGGTTTGTAGTTTCGCGATCCACAGCAATTTTTCATGGGTCGGCTCCTTTCGTCTTTGATTGCGACCGTGAATTACTTTGCATCTCCAAACTACGCCATCACCACTCAACGCCCATGCCGGTCTGCAACAGAGAAAAGACCGTTCCTGTATGAGACAGTCCTAGCTTCTGTCGACCGAACCGCCTAGAACGGCCATTTCCTTCTGCCGACGACTTGATAGGCTGTTTTTTAAAACCTGGTATGGACTTTTATATTTGCATTGGCTCGCCAGAGAGTGACAGAGAGAGAGAGAGAGAGAGAGAGAGAGAGAGAGAGAGAGAGAGAGATATATATATATATATATATATATATATATATATATAAGGAAAATATACAGAAAAAACAAACAAAAATCAAAAATATGCAATTATGCTGTTTTAATGTTAATATAATGTCAACGTCGGACGTTTCGGTCTAATAAACCATCTTCAGGACATATTCATAAAATATAATTAACATTATCAATTCAACATGACAAAGACGATGGACATAACATATGTTAATTGAAAAGGAAAAAATTGAAAAAGAGAAAAGGAGAGGGCGAGAGAAAGAGAGAAAAAGAGAGGGCGAGATAGATAAAGAAAAGAGAGAGTGGATAAGAGAGAACGGAAACACGAAAGGGGAGAGAGAGAGAGAAAGAGAGGGCGAGAGAGAAAAGAAAAGAGAGAGAGAAATAAAAAGAGAGTTGAAGAGAGAGAAAGGAAAATCGATAGGGAGAGAGAGAGAAAAAGATAGAGGGGAAAGAGAGGGAAAGGAAACAGGGGGGGAGTGAAAAAAAGAGAGAACGGAAAACAGAGGGGAAAGAGAAAAAGTGAGAGGAGAAAGAAAGAAAGAAAGAAAGAAAGAAAGAAAGAAAGAAAGAAAAATAGAGACGAAAAGAGAATGAAAAAGAGGGAGTGACGGAGAAAAAAGAAAGAGATCAGGAGGGAGAAAGAAAAAGAGTGGAATAGGGAGAGAGAAAAAGGGAAAGGGAAGATGGAGAGAGAGGGAAAGGCAAAGTGAGAGGGGAGAGGGAAGAGGGAGAGAGAAAAGCAAAGCGAGAGGGGAGAGGGAAGAGAGAGAGAGAAAGGAAAAGGCAGAGGGAAGAGGGAGAGAGAGAGAAAGGCAAAGCGAGAGGGGAGAGGGAAGAGGGAGAGAGAAAGGAAAAGGGAGAGGGAAGAGGGAGAGAGAGAGAGAGAAAGGCAAAGCGAGATGGAAGAGGGAAGAGGGAGAGAGAGAGAAAAGCAAAGAGTGAGGGGAGAGGTAGAGAGAAAAAGAGAGAGGGAAGATGGGGAGAGAAAAAGGGAGAGGGAAGAGGGAGAGAGAGAAAGGCAAAGTGAGAGGGGAGAGGGAAGAAGGAGAGAGAAAGGAAAAGGGAAGAGGGATAGAGAGAGAAAGGCAAAGGAGGGGGGGAGGGAGAGAGAAAAAGGGAGAGGGAAGAGGAGAGAGAGAGAAAGGCAAAGCGAGAGGGGAGAGGGGGAAAGGAAAAGGGAGAGGGAAGAGGGCGAAAGAGAGAAAGGCAAAGTGAGAGGGGAGTGGGAAGAGGGAGAGAGAAAGGAAAAGGGAAAGGGAAGAGGGACAGAGAAAGGAAAAGGGAGAGGGAAGAGGGAGAGAGAGAGAGAAAAAGGCAAAGCGAGAGGGAAAAGGGAGAGGAAAGAGGGAGAGAGAGAGAGAGAGTCAAAGGGAGAGGGGAGAGGGAGAGAGAAAAAGGTAGAGAGAGCGAAAGAGAGAGGAGGAGGACGTCGGTGTCGAGCAAGGAAGTTAGAACAGAATCGTTCCGTTTCAGAAATCATGACTAACAGAGTTACCGGCAATGAAATTGAGAACACAGTCAAGAAATGCTTTCAGTGCCGCGAAATTGAAAGACTTAGCGTGTGGCCGCCATTATTGTCTATCAGATTGAAGCCATTGACGAGGGAAAGACATCCAATCGCAAAAGCTAGAAAAAAAATAATAATAATAAAAACAGAAAAAATAGCATTAAAGTTGTTTTTTTTTCTTTTATTAAGCTTTTATAACAATCCGCTCTTACTAAACTGAGGCGATTTAAGAGTTGGATTTCTCACTGCCGGGTAATGGTTAACGAACTGAACAAGCAGATTATTATTATTATTATTATTATTATTATTTCCTTTGCTTTCTGGTGTGTACTTATTTCTTCCCGGGTCCCAACCAGAGACTTAAGATCAGAAATGGCATCATGGCATTTTCGACTGAGCAGTTTTAAAAAAATCGCACTTCTTTTACATAGATAAAGTCCTTCTTAAGGTGTGGACAGTGCTCGTGAGAACAATCTTTTGTATTTCTTTAAGAGCTGGGCTACTAAGGAAACCCTTCAATGAGTCTATTGGAATCTTTTCCAATCAATCTGAGGGTTCAAACTACAATTATTATTATTATTATTATTATTATTATTAATGTTTCATTTCCTTTGATTTCTGGTGTGTACTCATTTCTCTCCGGGTCCCAACCAGAGACCTAAGGTCAGAAATGGCATCATGACATTTTCTACTGAGCAGTTTTGAAAAAAAATCACATATATTTTACATAGATAAAGCCCTTCGTAAGGTGTGGGCTGTACTTGTAAGTACATTGTTTTGTATTTCTTTAAGGCATGGGCTACCAGGGATTCGTTCAATGTGTCTATTAGAATCTTTTCCAATCAATCCGTGGGCTCTAACTACAACTGGAATTACTGATGTCCTCATGTGTCACATTTTTAAGATTTCCCCTTCAAGAACCTTGCTATTTTGATAGTTTTTTTTGAAGATCTCCAAAGAAATATTGAGATCTGAAGGGACTACCATATCAATATGGAGGCATATTTTGTCTTTGCGTTCTCTAATCACGATGTCAGGGCGATTAGCTTTGTTTGTTGTTGTTGTTGCGTTCTTCTTCTTCTTCTTCTTCTTCTTCTTATTATTATTATTATTATTATTATTATGTTATGAATTTCTGACATTTGGGATTTTTCAGAAAACCTACGTAATTTTCGTAAATCTTCACGAGCCTGGAGTAACACGACGGTCGTAGGGGCACCATACGTGCTGCAATAACTAGTGGTGTGTCTAGGGCCAAATAGTCTGATGAAGCTCATTTTCTTTCATTCTCTTAGCTTAGTTGCCACCGAAAAAAAAGACAGACTGTCCTGCTATTTAACCCATAGTTAGGGGAAGAAGAGATGAATTCATACCTTTCTCAAGTGAACATAACGACCATGGCTGGAATTCAAACTTGTTTCATCGATTTCTTATTCCAAGTCGCTAACCGCTACACTATGTGCGTATTCATAAACATCACATACGCACGTATATTTATAATGAAAAAATAAAATTGCATAACCAATAATTATTTTTCAACATAATCACCCTCGTTGTTAATGCACTTAATTCAATCGTAAATATTAATCTCTTAGAACAATGAATAGTGAAACGTTCAGATCAGTCTACGCGTTTATGCGGTTCTCGGGTTATTATTATTATTATTATTATTATTTTTGCTTAATTTATTCGGAAGCCAAACATCAAAGCGACTAACATAACCAATCCAATGAAAATTATTTTTAACGCTTGGTCGAAAAGACGTGAATCTGTTGCATTTCCCCACTCCCTCATTTTGGTGTGGTCTTCGTTGACGGGATCAACTCAACAATAGTAAAGAGGTCTTCTTTCTCTACTCTCATGTTCTGGCCGGATGTCGAAATGTTTTGGGGGTCGAAGGATGAAAAGACATCAACAAAGGAATGTTGAAATTTTACTGTCTTATTAAACCTGTCGACGTGTACATTTGTAACTATCAAATGAGGTTGCTATCTCCGCCCCCGCTAGAGAGCAAGTGCTGAGACACGAAACAACACGTCTACACTGTATGACGTGTAAAACTCAACCCACTAAAATCACTTTCTATCTTTAACATTCCCACGCTTGACTAAAAATAAGTCAATAAAAAAACGACTTGCTTTGTTTTCCTGTATCTGACCTCAAAGATCAAAATGAGGAAGTCAGGAGAGAAACACAATTCTTTAAAGGATAATAATCTGCTAGATTATTATTTAACAAACCTATGTTTCCCTCCGCTTCGTCCAGTTGCGATATATTATGTTATAAATGTCTCGTTACTAGTTGGCTTTTCGTGGATAAATCACTCTCGCTTAACCGCCTTACTTGCCTGGCAGAAATAGCTGTTTCTATGATATTCAACCTTGACAGGGGACAGTTAGATAAGATATTAAAATGCGAAAGTGGACCGCGTTTCAGGCATTATGTTTTTATCGTTTAAACTATAACAGAGAAGCGCTTTTCTGAACTTTTAAATGGAATGAATGAGACATGCTGTTTAAACAAAAACCAGGGGTTCAACCTATGTCTTATAATTGATGTTCTACTTTTAAACGGGCAAACTAGACTGGCGTTGGCAAAAAAAAGGGGCTCGTCAACGATAAGTGTCTGTCGCTTTTAAGCCGCCATCTTGCGCTTCTGTCAGCTTTGTTCGTGTGCCGACGTTGAAAGAAACTGCGAGTGAATTGAATGACAAATGAGACGGGAAAGGGCGGACAACTCTGTTGAAAGAAAAAACAAAAGGGCCTCGCGTGTTTTTTTGTTTTTTTTCTTTCTTTTTTCCGCTTCTTTTTTTTTTTTAATGCCATTTCTTACTTTTGTTCCTTTTGTGGCGGAACTCCTTAAATTGATGAATGATACTAACAATCAAATGACGTGGGGACCGGCCGCCATCTTTAAGAAAGAACAAAAATAAATAAATAAATTCTTAGCTCCATTTATCTTTATCAGGGATAGCAACTTGTTTTTGCTTGCATGACTTCGGCAGAAGTTACCAGGTTTTAACGGGACTTTAAATTAAAAATTGAAACGAGCGATAAAGAACTTTAACATCAAAACAGACGTAAAAAATATAAAATGACTCCAAAATATATTCAAATACATTACATTATTTACATTGTTCGGAGTGTAGTCCTCATCTGTATTGCCATATTCACGACGTTTCGGCCGTTGTAGAGGGCTTGGAGAATTTGACACGCAGATGACATATTGAAGGCAAGAAGGACAGAGGGGAACAACGAGTAAAAATTTACACTATTTACTGTTCGGACGTAAGCGATCATGGTCTCCACAACTTCCCATCCTTTACATTGTTGGAGTGTAGTCCCCATCTTTATTGCCATATTCACGACGTTTCGGCCTTTGTAGAGGGCTTGGAGAATTTGACACTCAGATGACATATTGAAGGCAAGAAGGACAGAGGGGAACAACGAGTAAAAATTTACGCTATTTATTGTTCGGACGTAAGCGATCATGAGTCTCCACAACTTCCTATCCTTTACATTGTTCGGAGTGTCGTCCCCATCTTTATTGCCATATTCACGACGTTTCGGCCTTTGTAGAGGGCTTGGAGAATTTGACACGCAGATGACATATTGAAGGCAAGAAGGACAGAGGGGAACAACGAGTAAAAATTTACACTATTTACTGTTCGGAGGTAAGCGATCATGACTCTCCACAACTTCCTATCCTTTACATTATTTACATTGATCGGAATGTAATCTTCATCTTCATTGCCCTATTCACGACGTTTCGGCCTTTGTGCGAGGGCTTGGAGAATTTAAGGCAGATTGACATTTCAAACTAAAGAAGGACAGAGGGGAACCGGTGTAGATTAAAAGTTCCACTGTTTACTCTCGGAGGTTTTTCAGTTATGACTTTCCATTCAACTCTCTATTTTTTTCATCACTGCAGTTGCCAGGATTGAACTCTTCAACTCTGAATTGCCCTATTCACGACGTTATGTCGTTAAACGATGAGGACAACAGTCTGATTGGAATTTCAAACTAAACTCTTTATTTCGTCCATAGGTGTAGATTATTCTAGTTCCACCATTTTCAGCTATTCTCTTCCCATTTTTTCAAAGTTATCGTCCCTTAACACATGGCCTAGTCAAAAGTTTTTGGATTTCATCAATGCAGTAGCAAACAATTTGAGTTCAATTATTTCTCCTAAAATCGAAAAGTCTACTGAATATTTCAACTAAAAGATGAGGACAACAGTCTGAACGATCTATAAAATACAACAGTACCCCCCATTTCAAAAATATAATCTAGATTCTTATCCTTTGTAGTTCCACCATTTTCAGCTATTCCGCTACCCATTTACACAAACTTGTTACTCGTCCTCATGAACACATGGCCTAGTGGACAAAAGCGATGGTTGGATTAAGTCAATTGACCCAAACAATTTAGAGTTCAATTATTTCTCCCTAAAATCTTTAGTCTACTAAAATTATTTCCAACTTAAAATCTATAATCTACAAAATTATTCCCCCAAATCTATAATCTACAAAATTATCCCCACCCAAAACTATATAATCTACAAAATTATTCCCCATCCAAAATCTATAATCTACAAAGTTACCCCCCACCCACAAATCTATAGTCTACAAAATTATTTTCCCCCAAAATATATAATCTACACAATTATCCCCCTCCAAATCTATAATCTACAAAATTATTCCCCAAATCTATAATCTACAAAATTATTCCCCCAAATCTATAATCCCAAAAATCAAAATATAATCTACAAAATGATCCCCACAAATATATAATATAGTAAATTATCCCCACCCACAAATCTATAATCTACAAAATGATCCCCCAAATCTATAATCTACAAATTATTCCCCACCCCAAATTTATAATCTACAAAATGATCCCCCCAAATCTATAATCTACAAATTATTCCCCCACCCACCAAATTATAATCTACAAAATTATTCCACCCAAATC